TCCAACAACACCTGTCAACAATCCTCGGGCTCTGTTCTACCGGAGAGGTCAGTACGAATGACAGCAATCGATGTGTTTGGAATGCCAACTTGCACCGGTTCCTAGCTGTCCAGAATGTCGACTCGCAACCTTATGTGAACAAGGTCTCCAAGCGTCACTTGGTCAGTGACTGTGGTGTGAGGGCTTCCTGTTGGTTTATGCTCTGCCACATAGAAATGAACTATCACTCACCCCACATGAGACCTTCGGAGTGCGTAGTAAGTGCTTTCATTCGGACCTAACGATTTTCAACGCAAGAAAGTCCGGTGAGTCCACCTACTCCTATTGGGCATTTCTACCTTCCCATCTCTCTGAATTCAAATAATCAACCATGCAGTGATTGCCCCATCAATGGGGCTGTTCATTGTGTGTTATTATCGCGGTATATCGGTCGCACGAATTATCGTGGCATCAACTTGCTGAGTTGTGTGGGCAAGGTGATTGCCCGAATCCTGCTCAATCGCCTCGTGAGTCAGATTGTGGAACCTCACGTGGCGGAAGAGCAATGTGGATTCCGTTCGGGTCGCAGCACTATAGATATGGTGTTTGCGGCTCGTCAGTTGCAAGAGAAGTGCAGAGAACGACACCAGCCTTTGTACTCGCTTTTTGTTGATTTCACCAAGGCATTTGATACGGTGAACCGCGAGGCACTGTGGCTGGTGTTGGGTAAGTTTGGTTGCCCGCGTAAGTTTGTAAGTTTAATTGAATGTCTGCACAGTGGTATGCGAGCGAGGGTGCAGCTGAGTGGAGAGACCTCTGATGACTTTCCAGTTGTCTCTGGTGTGAAGCAAGGCTGTGTGTTAGCTCCTGCCCTGTTTAATATCTATCTTCATGCAATGTTGTCTTGTGCTTTTGATGCGGCTTGTGCTTACGGTGTTCGTGTGGAGCACCGTATTGATGGTGGGTTGCTGAACATCCGTCGTTTCGGTGCGAGAACTCTAGTCTGTGAGACAACTATCCGTATGTTGCTGTTTGCTGACGACTGTGCGTTGTTTTCACACAGCGCGGATGAGTTGCAGCACATGACTAGTGCTCTGGCTTCGACAGCGGCCAAATTCGGGCTCACCATCAACACAAGCAAAACTGTCTGTCTGTTTCAGCCTTCACCGGAGGTGCAATCTTCAATATTGCCGCAAATCAGCATTGGTGCTGAAGTATTGGAAACCACCTCCCGCTTCTGCTACCTTGGGAGTGTGATGTCGACTGATCAGCAGCTACACGTTGAGTTGCGTAATCGCGTGTCGAAGGCGGCAGCGGCATTCGGGAAGCTAGAGTACCGAGTGTGGAACAACCATCAGCTTAGCATTGGCACGAAGCTGATGGTGTACAAATCCATGGTACTGTCCGTTCTTCTATACGGCAGTGAAACGTGGACGATGTACCGTCGGGATGTGCGATATCTCGAGCGGTTCCATCAGCAGTGTGTGCGACGAATTTTGCGGATCGGCTGGGGCGCCAGAGTTGCAGACACGGAAGTGTTGCGCCGAAGTGGGATGTATGCAGTGGACTGCATACTTTTACTGCGACACCTGAGATGGCTCGGTCATGTGAGCCGTATGGATTCGACGCGAATACCGAAACAACTTTTATACGGTCAGCTGAGTATAGGGAAGCGGCATGCTGGGAAACCAAAGTTACGTTACCAGGACATGATTAAAGTGAGCCTCACACGTTCTAATCTTGATTGCAGATCATGGGAATCGAAGGCGGTTGATCGTGGTGCATGGCGCGATCTAATCACGAAGGCAGTTGCTGAGGTGCGGGAGAAAGCCCTCATGCATGCAGAGAAGAAGCGGCAAGTGCGGAAGCGGCAAGCACCGATGAATTGTACTCCATCGACATCGAGCGCACTGTGTTGTAGAACATGCGGTCGCGAGTGCCTTAGTCAGGCAGGCCTAGTGAGCCATGAGAGAGGTCACTCGGGACCACTGCCGAAGCGACGACGGGTCCCTCAGTGAACGTAGGCAGCACCGGCGCAGCGTTTGTAGGCACGCTGAATTCGATTTACTAACCGCATGGTTGCATGCGAAGTCTCTTTATTTCAGGTGGTGGGTTTTCGGTTCTCTCCTAATGCCTTTCTTTCTCATATAAGTGTCTAGTGGGCCATGCGCTGTGTCATTTGGGGCCACTACAGAAGCGACGACGGGTCCTGCAGAGAATTACGACGAGCCGGCGCAGCGTTTGTAGGCACGCTGAATTCGATTTACTAACCGCGTGCTTGCATGCTAAGTCTCTTTATTTCAGGTGGTGGGTTTACAGTTTTTACCTTAATGCTTTTCTTTCTTATATAAATATCTCCCTGTACTCTATTCCATTAACTTGCACATATCGCTTTAGCCAGTTGTATTCGATTTCCATAAGATTTTTGTGTTCGTGGCATACCGTGAACTATACTTCCTGACTTCGTGCACTTAGCTGGGATGTGTTTGTAAACAACTTATTACGTATGCTATTTAATTAAGGTTTATGTCACCGTTTCCTTATGCATTAATCCAGTTTTTCTCTTTTTCTTTCTCTCTCTCTCTCAAGTGATTGGCTGTTGTTTGATATCCTTGGTGTGGCTGCGCTTGATGTGCATGTTGACAAGGTGCCTACCTGTCTATTACCCACTACCTCGTCCATACTGGCTCCAGGAGACAGTTGGTCGTTGCTGGAGGGGACGGGGTGCACGGTTCTTGTGGCCGTGTTAGGCTCGAAGAGTGGTTCCATGCACTCAGTATGGAGCGGACTACGGTCCAGCCACCGCCTTGTGTGCGTTTGATTCCCCAAATACAGCGTGCTTGTGTTTGCCTGTGAAGGAGTGTGGGCCGGCTCCGTTGATGAAACGTGGTTCCCATCCACATGCCTCCCGGTCTTATTCCTTCGGGTTTACACTGGATATGGGGTGTGTGGTTGGAGCTGTGGGTGGTGCAGCGCAAGCCATCCATGGTCCCTCTGTAGGCGCAGGCGTCCTGTGGCAAGCCACAGCGACAGGCGAATTCGAAACCGGATGCCGCCAACCATGTGTCTAATCTTGGATTCTTGATGCTTCTTCACCGCAGTTGGGCTAAACCAACTTACACTTAAACTAGGTCTTTTTAAGGTGGATAAATTTCATTCCGCTTTATTTGGTTTGTTCTGCCTCTCTGAATAATTTTCTATTAACTGGCCACGTTGCTTACACTAATTGCGCTTATCTTCGGTAATTTTGTTGCGTTTATAGCATTTTAAGTAACTTGTGGACATTTCTTACTTATCACGGATTTGTTGCTGACCAACTTACTTCATATGGTAATTTAGCGAAGAGTTATGCCACCGTATCTGTATGCATTATTGGATTTATTTTATTTCAGCTTGTCGTTTAAAGTGAATGGGTGTTGTTTGATATCCCAGGTATGGTTGCGCTTATAGGGTATGTTGACAAGGTGCCTACCTGTCTATTACCCACTACATCGTTCATACTGGCTCCAGGAGACAGTTGGTCGTTGCTGGAGGGGACGGGGTGCACGGTTCTTGTGGCCGTGCTAGGCTCAAAGAGCGGTTCCATGCACTCAGTGTGGAGCGGACTACGGTCCAGCCACCGCCTTGTGTGCGGTTGATTCCCCAAATACAGCGTGCTTGTGTTTGCCTGTGAAGGAGTGTGGGCCGGCTCCGTTGATGAAACGTGGTTCCCATCCGCATGCCTCCCGGTCTTATTCCTTCGGGTTTACACTGGATATGGGGTATGTAATTGGAGCTGTGGGTGGTGCAGCGCAAGCCATCCATGGTCCCTCTGTAGGCGCAGGCGTCCTGTGGCTTGCCACAGTGACAGGCAAATCCGAAACCGGATGCCGCCAACCATGTATCTATGTATGTGTTTTGCTGTTGTTTGATATCCCCGGTTTGGCTGCGCTTGATGTGCATGTTGACAAGGTGCCTACCTGTCTATTACCCACTACCTCGTCCATACTGGCTCCAGGAGACAGTTGGTCGTTGCTGGAGGGGACGGGGTGCGCGGTCCTTGTCTCCGTGTTAGGCTCGAAGAGTGGTTCCATGCACTCAGTGTGGAGCGGACTACGGTCCAGCCACCGCCTTGTGTGCGGTTGATTCCCCAAATACAGCGTGCTTGTGTTTGCCTGTGAAGGAGTGTGGGCCGGCTCCGTTGATGAAACGTGGTTCCCATCCGCATGCCTCCCGGTCTTATTCCTTCGGGTTTACACTGGATATGGGGTATGTGGTTGGAGCTGTGGGTGGTTCAGCGCAAGCCATCCATGGTCCCTCTGTAGGCGCAGGCGTCCTGTGGTTTGCCACTGTGACAGGCAAATCCGAAACCGGAGAGCCTATGGTGCGCTGAGGCTGGTGGTGGCTAGATCCTGACAGATGGTCTACCCACTGCTGCTGCTGTTGCGCCATAGTCTCATGTCCTGGGCGCCTCCACGTGGCGACCGCTGGGTGGGAGTTAGGTTTCGCCCTTCTCCCTGCTAAGATCCATGACACCAATCCGCATGAGTCAGTGAACTGACCATGTGCTAGACCCGCTGCCTTTCGGGTGTTCGTTTAATCGAAGGCTTTGGCTGAGGACCCGAGTCGTTCTCCTGTCAGGTGTGGGCGCCCTGGCAGTATCCTAGTCCATCCTCTCCGGAGGTTAGGAAGTGGTCGATGGCCCACTTCCCGTAAAACCTAGCCATGGGAGACAACAGGTTACGGGTTATATTCTCAATGCTCGATTGGCGTAGAGCACGAGTACCACGCATTGTCTCTGACGGTGGGAGGACACCTCCGGGTGTTCAATGGTTTGCTACTGCCCGCCTCAAGCCAGGTAGCCCCTGGTCAAATTGGTGCAAACCCGCCAAAAACCCACCTGCGTCTGGCCGTGGTCGCAGGTGCGTATCCAATTACGGTCGCAAAACATATGATAACTGTTCCAGAACCTCAAAGGCTGCGTGTGACGGCCGTCAAGCAGATCCCCATCTGTCTCTGCAATCACATTCCCGAGCTGGATCTGCTCTCCACTGCCTTGTGGGTCAGGCTATTGAGCCAAAGGCTCCGGGTGGAGTCCCTCAAGCAAACCACCCACTGCCTTGTGGGTCAGGCTATTGAGCCAAAGGCTCCGGGTGGAGTCCCTCAAGCAAACCTCCAAACCACCCACTGCCTTGTGGGTCAGGCTATTGAGCCAGAGGCTCCGGGTGGAGTCCCTCAAGCAAACCTCCAAACCACGCACTGCCTTGTGGGTCAGGCTATTGAGCCAAAGGTTCCGGGTGGAGTCCCTCAAGCAAACCTCCGAAGCACAACGACCACCTCGCGTGCGAT